ACCAACATCCCCCCCCCCCGCCGGGCCGCCCCCACAAACAATAATTAAAATATTCTATTTTACATATTTTCTATACGCCACAAAACATTTTTTTTTTTTTTTTTTTTTTTTTTTTTTTTTTTTTTTTTTTTTTTTTGTGGAAGTGTCGGCACACGATTCCTTACCAGAACTATAGCACCGGACGGCTAAGTATTGTCCAATAGAACAATATGTGTATTAGTGATTAAGTACTGTCATTGACGACAAGTGTATAGGAAAGCCTCTGGGAGTGTCAGATGATGTATCACAGTCTGCTTCCCTGGATGGGGATAGGCTTGGCCAATAGAAATATGCGGGTTGCCGGCTGCCCCCTCTCACCCGACTGCGCCGTTAATGTCGGTTTCTCTCTTTTACTTCCTTTGTAAGTAGGTCAATATCACTCGCCATGCCTCTATTTGCTGGGAATAGCCTCCGGACATAGGCTTCTTTCCGCAGACAAGCTGCACACTTAGTATTGATGGTTGTTACCGTGTTATTAGACCCGCCCCAATGAGCATGTGTGTTTTTAACTCAGAGTGAAGGACTGTATGCTTACAGAGCGTGTGGAGCACGGTAGAGACCTGGGCCATGGCGAAGAGGTAGCTTTAGGTGGATATCTTGGGTTGGGTACGTGGTAGGTGGATGCGTAAGTTCGAGGAGTAAGAGCGTGAGAAGATCTAGACTCGGACATTTCAACGGATAATTATAGTAAAGCATTTCTCTAGCAGCGGGAAGCCTGAGGTTTGCATGGTATTTTATATTCATGAATTGCTTGGCTTTGAGTGAGCGTATATTCGTACCCTGTTCTTGTTCTCTAATACGAGAGCATACAGATTCTAACAAGCACGATGGTTCGGAAGAACCAAGTGCGTTTGCTTCCAACCGTTCTTTTTTTTTCACGATCAAAATGATAGATTCGTTCCCTAACAAGTTTAATTGATAGGATTCCATTTTTTCATAGTAAATTTACGTCTAACAATGGAGATATGATGCTAACGTCGTCTATCTGAGGCTTCGAACTTGAAGATGGCAACAGCTGCCAGAACGCCTTGGAATCAAAACCCACCTGAAAAACAATCTCTTTGATCCTCGAAACGAGCCGAACAAGTTTCCAGTGCAAAGGAAAGTAGATTTTTAGATTGCCCCGTTTGTTTATTCTCTTGTCATTTTCTCGCATTGTTCATTAAAGTCAGTTGGAGCCCGGGGGTAAAGATGTGGCGAGAATAGGTATAATCGGACAGAGCATTGAAAGCAACACATCGTAATGCTTGTTTCTTATGTACCTACTTATTTAATAATATTTTTATTCTACCTGCACATTTATGCATACTTAAAGTAAAGCAGGTGCCTATATATCATCGGTTGATATTGGAAGCATCGCCCGCAACTAGTATTACTCATAGCTTCCCTTATAGCTGCCTAACTACAGGTAGGTACTATTTGAACCTGAGAACGTGTATTTTAATGGAAGTTTATACTACCAAGCTTTCGTACAACCTGAGCTGTCGATGTAATATAGTTTACACTATCCTCTTACAGTTAGTTAGATATCTCAATGCATGTCAAAGGGCCGGAACCCCATTTATTTCTCATCTAGCGACTATATGATTGGCTGATATCCAACTCAACGAATCAACAGTTTCTCCTGCATATTAAGCTTTTAGCGTCATGTCGCTCAACTTTCTTTAATTTTTTTTTTCTTCTTCTCAACTTCTCTCGAATATTCTTAACCAAGCATTCGGTCTACAGCATCTATAGTGTGCAGGCAGGAGTCACGGCGAATATCAACGCCTATCCAGGGTCTCATTCTAAGTAAGCAAGTCCGACAATAAACAAGCAAATCTTGTTAAAACTCTTCGAGTTCGTGGCTTGAAAAGGCTGGTAGCACGCGCTTCCATTGCTTCACAGTCGAAGTATGGCCGACGACAATACTTATGAGAGGGGTAAGAACCCCGTCGTGACCGGAACCAATCATGAAGCAGGCACTCAGCTAGAAGGCGGCCAGCCTACTCCCTCGGAGTATGATATCGAGAGAATAGAGGCCGTTTACAGGAAGTTAGATCTTCGCATCATTCCACGTAAGATCATACACACATTATTTCCTTAAACCATTTCCTTGGCTAATTACATCGTAGCCTTCTGGATCTTATACTTTCTCTGCTCCGCCATCCGCTCCAATATCGGGTTGGCGCAGACGATGAATTCAGACGTTGGTCACGATTTGGTGACGATGCTGGGGCTTTCATCTAACGATGTCTCCACTGCTTTGGCCCTCTTCTATGTCTCTTATGTCATCTTCGACTGCCCTTCCAATCTCATCATGAGCAAGCTGAGCCCTCGGGTTTGGATGGCTAGAATCGTCTTTGCTGTGGGTGTAATAGGGGCTTGCTTTACCGCCGTCCAGGCTGCTTGGAGCTTGAAGTAAGTTCACCATCACCTTTTTTTTTTTTTAATTGGGGTTGGCCTAAGTGCTAATACCTGGTGTAAGGCTTTTACGATTTTTACTTGGTGTGGTAATTGCTGGCATGTGGCCTGGAATGTCCTATTACTTGACTCTTTTCTACCCTCCTTCACGGACAGGCAAGCGAATCGGAATGTATTTTACGGCTTCGCAAGTATCCGCCGCTGTTGTGGGCTTAGTATCAGCGGGTTTCCAATTGATGGACGGTGCTGGTGGTTTGGTCGGCTTCCAATGGATGTTTCTTATCTATGGGCTCCTTGCTGTCCTCCTTGGCTGGACATTACTTTGGTGGTTACCCGAACGCCCATTGCCGCCTGGTGAACGAAGGGAGCGCTCGAGTTTCATGAAATGGCTTCCTCCGACCCCTGAAGCTCTGACTGGTGAAGATGCGCTAGTTCACTACGAAGATCTTAAGAGGGTCTACCACACGAGGCCCTGGACTCTCAGAGATTTAGGTTATGTCCTGATTGACTGGAGGCTTTGGCCGCTTACTATCATGTATTTCGGCGTGGTAGGAGTAGGGATCGGCACGCAACTTTATGGCACAGTGATCATTCGTGGTATCAACTCATCATTCACCGGGGTGCAACTCAGTCTTCTCTTCGCCCCTATTTGGATCGTAAGTCCGCGCTCACATGATATTTTACTTCTCACATTCTAACTTCGATAGATGGACTTTTTTGCGATTCTACTTGTTACTCCTATCTCGGATCGATTCCACCGTTTACGCCCCTTATTTTTCTCATGCGCTGTATGTATCCAGATTGCTGGGCTTCTCACCACCACCTTCGCCCCTACCTGGAGGCCTTGGGCGAGGTATGGGGGTCTTCTAATGGTGGGCTTCGGCCTCGGTCCGACGGTTCCCATCTGCATGACCTGGACCAATGAGATATTTCAACAGCGTCACGGCGAGGTTGGTGTTGCTGCCGCATCGGCATTGGTATCAGGCCTTGGAAATCTCGGAAGTATTACGACTACCTATGCCCTTTACACTGGTTGGCCCGCGGACGCTGCCCCCGGGCCGCATCAATATCGGCGAAGCAACTTGGTCATGATTGGTATACTGTGCGCCAGCATCTTAAGCAGCTTCATCATGTTTGTTGCCCTGAAATTCGTCGGTAACAAGCCCAGCAATAAAATTGGCAGCAGTGGAAGCTCCAAAATTGACGGTTTGGATGGCTTTCAAGACGGCGCGGCCCGCCGCGAACTTGAGCAACGCGGTTTTGGTCGCATGTGGTGGTGGAAAAGGGACTAACTTCTATGCACTACGATACTCCGGAAACAGGCCACCCCCCCGCTGTGATCTTCAACAACTAGCAGTTCAGCCGTCAAAGACTACTTACCTTTCCTAATCTGGGTAGTTCAACCTGCCATTCTCAATTTTCGTTTCACCTTTACCCAATTTTATTACGACTTCTTGGTACGACACACGCCCATTGGACGTTCGATACGCGCATCATACGAAGGATTTTACTTCTAATGGCGAAAGTGCCGTTGCGCCATCGCTAGGATTGGCGGATTTGGATGGAAGACGGGAAGGGCGAGAATGCTGGAACGCTATCGTTTCACTCCCGTTTTGGTGGGCAGGTGGCGCACACGGAGGTTTATTTTTTCATGCTTTTTTTTGGGGAGAATTCTTCTTGTTTTCTTGGTGTTGGCGCACGCATATGATACCCCATCTGTGTTTTGTATACGCTGTCATTCGAGAACCTCAACCAAAGACTCGCCGGCGACAGTGCTTCTACGCCATCGCTTGGGACGGCGTGTTGCAGCCGAGGCGGGACTGGCGACAATGCTTCTGCGCTATCGTTTGGGAACTCGTCTCGTGGGCATTGCTTACACACGTTTCTTCGAGTACTTGGAATCTTCATCGTAGGATAAAGAGGAATAAGAGGTAGCTTGGTTCTTCACTCGCTACCTTACTATTATACATTACTAGGCAAATACTTTTTCAGCCTTACACATACATTATCATGATCCCTTCACGCCCTTCCATCCTGGTGCGATTGAAAATGTCCCCCTTTAAACGCCGTTATTGTGCAATATGGCACGATATCATCATCAAATTGCAATCTTCGTGACCAAACAACGATTTTCAGCTTACGTTAAACCCCAGATTTGTTCCCCTTATTCATAGAGAATTCAGGCCCTAGGGGTTCCAAAGCGCGAGCTTCTCGTGGTTTAATGAACATGGGTTCGGTAAACTCTAGGTACTCTTTGTAGTACGGCTTAGTTATTTGGTGCTATGACGCGAGTCAGATTCTTTTCTTGAGGGCAATGGAGACAGACGATGGAGACTAACCTCTAGGAACCATTGCACATCCTTTGACCTATCGTTTAGTTAATACATACTCCGAACCCTTACACAGACAGTAAACGAAAATCCAGGGCAGAAGCATACCAATTCTCCACCCAGCTGAGCTTCCCAGGCTCTTCCGCAGACTTGTAAACTTCGAAGAAAAGGCACTCGGGCTCGGCAGTCACGACGTCGAAGACGGGTTTGAACGAAGCTAGGAACTTTTCGACGTTCTCGGGCGCGATGTGCACGGTAACGTGGAGGCTGAAGCCCTTTGATGAGGGTGTCGTCATCTTGCCCACTGTTGCCGCACTATCGTGCATTTGTTCCTCCTGTATTTCGATATTGGTTGCTTCTGCTGCTGCTGCTGCTGCTGGAGACGATGATTTGGGAGACTCGGCCTCGGTATTGATAGGCGTGACAACGATATGGTTGGACTGTCCCTTCTCGGACTTATTTTCGGGGTTCTCCCCTTTCTTGCTGCCGCGGCGGCTGAGGGGGGTGCTGCTGTTTCGCCAATGCTTGAGCATCGAGCTTTTGATATTGAGAGCCATGTTGGATTAGGTAGATTTAGGTAGGTTAGGTATATGTGAGAGATTGTTGAATAGCCCGAGAAGTTATTATATTTCTTAAGTGAGTCTACTACTTATATGACAGGACGTTTATTCAAACTTCTAAGACGCATTGAAGTCATATACGCTCGGTATATATGCTGCTAAATACTACGTTGGAGAGAAACCCTTGCCGACATAAAGACCCAAAGGAGAAGACGGAGTCGCGGAGTGCCAAGGAATTAGATATGAGGTACCTTTGGCATTTTGTCCGCAAGGCCAGCCAAGCTGAGCTTACACTTACACTCACACTCGTGCCCTCACGCTCCAGATCTCGAACTAGGAATAGCAATGCGTAGCGGATTGTGGAGCACCGCTACCGAATAATTCCATTCTGCAAGGGACTAATTTTTTTTTCCTCAGCGGCCTGGGACTTCTGTAACTTGGCTTCCTTGAAGATCCCCATGCGTGTTTCTTTTATTCAAACTCCAACGTGTCTATCACCCCTGGTCCCGCATTTTCCTTCGTCTTCATCGCGATTTGTGATCAAGGTAGGTTAGGTAAATTTCTATACTAGGTCTAAGTACATAGAAACTAAGTAAGAAGATATACTAACTATGCGTTCGATAGATAGGTATGTTGAAGAGTTAGCTAGCTAGCTAGCTAGCATTGATCCCACGTGGCAATGTCTTGTTTCAATTCGCTAAAACATACCAAATATAAACGAATCAAGGAAACATTCGACGCTAGAATTACTACCCAGGTAGATAGGTTGCTCCTTATTCGCGATTTGTGCTTTGCGACAAAGCCAAAAAGAACCCGTTTGGTTTTTTTCCAAAAGTCCCGTTCTTCCTCATACGTCGATTCCGGTCTAACCTGATATATCCAAAGCTCGACGGGCGCACCATGGTAGGTATTGTACAATAGGTAGTGTACGCATATCCCACCATTCCGAGTAGCAACTTGGAAACCTTAATTGAATTTAAAAAAAAAAGTCCTTTACGAGAGCCGCATAAGTGGCACCTACATAAGGCCACGATTTCTTCAAGCGGGAACGTGCTTCCATGTTACGTACCTCCTATGCCTCTTTCGTCGGGGACTTTTGTGTTGATAGGTAAGGTACCTCCCACCCAACTTGATGACAACGATGCGGGATGGTGCATAAGGTAAACCGTATTCACGGGTCAAAGCTTTGCAAACGGGGTCTCCAAGTTTGACACATTAACGTCCGTTAGGGTAAGTTTATCTTTCTAGATCGACGGAAAGAAGAAAGAAAGATTATAAGATTACCTTAGTGATATTATCCCTTCCAAATACCAACATTTCCCATGCAAAATGAATCCTGGTGCAGTACACACGTATGGTAGGATAATTGAAAATTGGAAACCTGCCTCTGGGAAAAAAAAAAAAAAAAAGGGGGGGGGGGATATTCGTTGGGTTCGAATCACTTCATAGGAAGATAGTGACAACCGCAGCTCAGTATGCAAACAGACAGACTCTGAACCGAAGGTTTCAACTTCTCCTGGTGCCCAGGTTTCGTTTCAATTTCAAATACGAATTTGGTATATACAGCAGAGATCTATGTTTAGAGCTTAAATCCCCATCTACGAAGGTTATGCTATAACAATGACAGATTCAACCAATTTAGTCAGATACTCCCATTCGACCGCTCCCATCTGAATCCCTTAGGCACCTAAGGTACCTAGGATTTCTCACTTCCCCTGCCTCTTCGCCAACGCAGCATCCACGATCCCACCCGCCAGCGCCTCGATGCTCGTCTTCATATCCAGCAGCTCCTGCATGCTGATCTTGGCCCCGAGCGCCTGGTGGAACCAGTTCCGCAGTTCCGCCGCGATCAGGCTGTCGACGCCGTGCTCGGCCACGGGCTTCGCCGGGTGGATGTTCGAGATGTCCACGAACAGCATCTCCGCCACCGTCGTCGAGATGGCCTCTACCACGAACTTGGCCGTTTCCGAGCGCTGGGAGGCTCCTCCTCCGGAGATGCCCGCGTCGAATTGTCGCCGCACCCACCCCACCGATAGTTTGCCCGTGCTGTCGTCTTCGCCGTCCTGAGCCGCTGCAGCGGCTGCGTCTAAGGAGTTGCCCGTGCGTAGGTCTCGTCGCGCGTCTTCGAATGCACGGATTATAAGCGAGACGCGTCCATCCTCGTACCAACGAGGCGTGCTATTCCTGACCGCACGGCCTGCGCTCTCCTCCTCTTGCTCGCGCTCCATAGCCGCCATCGCAGCTGGATCCAGGCAAGTAAGGATATTCGAGGCAGAAAGAGGGTCCTCTGTTTGGCCAACCCAACTCTCTCCATCGCTTGCGTTTTCATTTCTCGCTATGCCGTCTTTCAGGAACGCCGGCTCTAGACAGGCAAGGAACTCCGCTTCGGAAAGCGTAAGCACCTTGTTCCGTGCAAACATGTCCACCGTGATCGGGTCTTGACCCAGCTCGCCGATACCCTTGACGAATCCTAGCGAAATACTTGTTGCGGGCAGCCCGAGTCGCCGGCGGTACCTCGCAAACGCGTCCTGGAATGCGTTGGCGGCCGTGTACGCGCTCTGCGTGGCTAATGCGCAGATAGACTCTAGCGAGGTAACCATGACGAAAAAGTCCAGTTGTCCGGGGGGGAGGGACAAGGTGATTTCGTGCAAGTTTTTGGTCCCCTGGACCTTGGCGGCGAGGCTGTCGCGCCATCGCTGGGCTGTTATTTTATCGAAGGAGATATCGAGGTAGGATACCGCGGCGTGGATAATACCTTTGAGCGGGATGCCGGGTGAGACGGATGCGATGTGCTCTATGAGGCGTGTTACCTGGGACTTGTCGCTAATATCGCAGGCCAACGGCTGGATACTAATACCACGCTCGGTGAGCGTGCTTATAAGATTCCGAGCTGCCGAGGAGATTTCCTCGATCCCGCGCCTCGTCACGACTACTAGATTTCGGGCTCCCCGCTGGCACATCCACCTAATAATCGACCTACCCAAACCACCTAGTCCCCCGACCACGATGTGATATGCCTTAGGGTCGAACCTGACACGTGGTTGGGACGGTGCTGGGAGCATTTTCACTAATGCCTGCGGGTCCTGGTATGTTACTACCAGCTTACCGACATGTTTGCCCTTAGAGAACTTTAGCAAGACCTGGTCCAGTTTGGATATATCGGTAGCTGAGAATGGGCGAACCGGCCCGATGAGGCCATCCCGATAATAGGCATGGACGGCTCGCATTAACTCGCCGCTGAGCGCGGGATCAGCATCGAGGATAAGCGATAGGTCAAACGAGGAGAAATTGCAACCCTTGGCAAACAGATCCATCCCTAGATCCTTGGAATCCTGCACATCGGTACGTCCAACATCAACTAGATGGCCCAGAGGCGCCAGCGCCTGGACGGACGCACGAAGTATGTCTCCCCGACCCGTGCTAAGTATAGCATCGAAGCCACGGCCGTCGGGTGTCAAACGAAGAAGCTTTTTGTCTAGGGCCAACGTGCCGTCTCTCGATGAGACGGTAATGACATGCGATTGTGGCAGGTTCATTTCGTGGATTAAGAAATCCGCCTTTTCAGGAGCACCCACCATGGCAAAGACCTCGGCACCCTTTGCCTGCGCAAGCTGAATGGCTGCGAGCCCGAGGCCGCCGCTGGCGGACTGGATAAGGACCCTGTGTCCTCTCCCCAGGCGAGCAAGGTGGTCGAACGCGTATACGGCCGTCATGTACACCAAGGGCATGGTCGCGGCTTCGGTCAAGTCGTCTTGCGCATCCAACTTCTGCGCAAAAGCGGCAGGGACACGCGTGTAATTCCCGAATTGGCCGCGGCCCATGCCATACACGCGGTCACCGACGCGGAATAAATCGGCCGCATCCGTACCAACGGCTGTCACAGTGCCAGCGTATTCGGATGACAGATTGTTGGCGTCGAAGCGGCCTGACGAGACGGCCAAGTCTTTCCAGTTTACACCCACCGCCGCTACTTTGACGTCGATGTAGTTTGAGGGTATCGGGTCTGATAATTCTGCGTAGGGCTTAAAGTAAAGAGAGCTGAGTAGGCCGGGTTTGGAAAATGCTGCGCAGATAGGACCTTGGCTCTCCAGTGGGTGCAGCGACAGGTCATCGCCGTGGCGTTCCGGATTATTCCTAGGAAGTATTTCGGCGTACGAATGGAGAGTATCATCAGGTACAGCCCGGCTAACCCATAGACAGCCATCCTGCCAGACATATTCGTAGTCATTTACCCGAGGGCTCTCGCTCTCTTCGTCACCCTCGGATACATCTGGCGGCGGGAAAAGTTGGTTCGCAACGCAGCGGGCGAGATCCTCAGATTCATACCGCGCAGGGTCGAGATCCTCGACGGGAATATCGATCGATACAAACCTCCCCGCTGGGTTCTCCGTCCCAATTGTTCGTAGCAGTCCAGGTATTAATGCTCCTTCTGGGTTCTGACCTTTTGAAAATCCGCAGAAAGTCAAACAGATCAGGGTCGTTGCATTCCGTGCAAGATGCTGAAACGCGGCAAGTCGACTCCCTTCGGTGTCGAGAAGAAGGTCCTTCTCGCCGTCTAAGAAGAGTACCACGTGAGAGTCCGGTGATACCACATCCGGCGCTTGGTCGATCTGCGCAATTTGAGGTAGTATCCCAAGTTGCTCTAAATTCTGGCACAGCGTGCTAAGAAGCAACGGATCATGCTCGAGGCTATGGAGCAGTGTGACCTTGACACCTGCCGAGTTTCTGTTTTTCTTTTCGTCCTTTTTCTCTTCGCCATCGCTTTCTACAGCCGTGGAGACCACGGTGCTGATCGAATTATTTGGGCGAGGGTAGTCATCCAGCACCAGTTCAGTACCGGAGAACCCCGTCTCTTTGAGGGCCTTATCCCACGTTTCCAAGCTCACAAAGGCACCGTTAATCCTACCATCGGATACTCCGTCCCAAAACCCAGTCAGTACACCCGTGAAAAGCCCAATGGCCACGCTATCTGTCTTGGTCGACTCCAGCAAAACAAGCTTTCCTCCCGGCTTGAGAAGTTTACGGCAATTCTTAAGCGTCTCAAAAATGTTGGCAGTGGCATGCAACACCTGTGAAGCTAAGACGACATCGTACAGAGGCTGGTAGCCCTGCGTGGCGGGATCCGTACTAACGTCCAGGATAGAGTAAGTGATGTCGCGGAAACCAGCCATAAACCCTTGTGCCGCGGCGAAGAAACCCGTCGAGACATCGGTGAAGACATACTCGCGGTACCGCTTAATACCGTTAGGACCCGTAAGCGCCTTCATAGCAACACGCGTGGCACCACCTGTTCCGGCACCGACCTCCAGGATGCGCAGGTGTGGGTTCGCGTGAGCCAAACCATCCAAGACTCGCGAGAGCTGTGGGTATGCGCTTGTCATAAATATCCCGCGCTTGTATGCCGCCGACAGAAGATTAATATGGTCATCATCGTGAATTAAGACGTCAATACCCGTCTGGCGTTCATAGAGGATATCGGCCATGTTGTCGTGTAATCGTTTAAGTATCTGGGACTCTGTGATCTCCTTAGTCTCGAGGTGGAGCTGGTTAATTATTTCATGCCGCTCCTGGGAAGACACCTGTCTAGCCTTCGCTATCTCAGATGTAAGTTCAGCGTCTTCGGCACGCCGCTTAATCCACGCAAAATAGTGACCAATATTCCCCGATGGTGTAGGGACTCCGTTGGCCCCGTCATTACTCTTCGCAAACGTCTCATACACGTCCGCAAGGATATAATAAGCCATCGTGTTCACCTTCTCGATGGATACGATCCGGTCCACATTTTCCCTAGGCGGAGGGAACAGCGTACGACACGACTGATAGTTTACGGAGCGGAAATCGGGTTTCCATACCATACGCGCAAAGGGGGTACTAAATGCGCGCTGTGCACCATGGCTATTTTTGCCGCCGCCCACTTGCGTCTCGCTGGTATAGCTGATGCATCGTAGTTTCTCGATGTCGAGAATCACGTCGCCGTTTAGGTCTAGCATCTGCAACTGGTTCACGCACGCGCCCCTGAGACCGCGGAATTCACCCCGTGCAACGGCAATAGCGGTGTCACTGCCTTCATCGTCGATGCGATTCTTGATATAGAGCCGAGAAAAGTGAACTGGTATGAAAGCAGTTGTAGTAGTTTCGACACAGCCCCCGTAGCAGGAAATGAGACCCAGCTGAAAGGTGCCATCAAGGGCTGCTGGGTGGAGTGCGTATCTAGACTCGCCGCCCTTGACCGTACCTGCTGTTGTTTTCAGTGCTACGGTCGCAGAGGCAAGCTTCTTGTCCGGATCGGCGCTGATATTGGTGAGTGGCCGAAATGTCGGACCGTACCCGAGCCCTATTGCCCCGAAGGTTTTATACCACGACCGTGCATCACTTACACGGGTGTCCATGGACTCCACATCAATCTTCTCGGGCTTATCGTATGAAGTTCCGGTTTCAATCTTCACAATTCCAGTACAGTGTTCGATCCACACGCTATCAGCAGAATTGACATCAGTCCGGCCGGCCGAACTAATAGAGAAGCTTGCCCATGAAGCCGATGCCGTTGAGGTAGCGCCGAGCTCCATACTCAACATGACTTCGACGCCTTGGTCATCTTCCGGTAGCCTTAACGCCGTGTTGATAGACACGTTGCGTAGCGCGTAACCTGTCGGTTTCGGACCAGGCTCAGGAGATTCCTCGTAAATACGTAGTGCGGCCTCTATGGCCATGGCGATATACCCGGCAGCAGGGAAAACGGCGTCTGGAGACACGATTAGATCATACAGCAGTAAAGATGGGCAATAATACTATTTACCTGGTAATAATCGATGATCACCTAGCCAAGGTAGGTCCTTGATACGTAACACATTTCGCCACTGGGGTCTTAATTTGGCAACTCCAGGGACCTTGGAGCCGAGCAGGTCGTGTCGCGGGACTTTTCGGAGGCGGTAGTCTTTGCTTGCACGGCTTTCGTAGTAGTTTATTGGTCCATACGCATACTGATAGGGTGGAAGATCGATAGCCGTACGCCCATGTACAAGAGCAGACTTGCTTTCGTTGTCGCCGTCGACTGCATTGACAGCAACCAAGTCAACCTTGGCGTTCAAACAATAGAGTCCCCCGACCAGCTGCAGTATTGATTTACGAGCGTCTTCACCCCTCTTCAAAGCCGAACCTGCGTATGCAATCTGGGTTTGGCCCATACTCTTCAAGATCTGCTCCAGCGGTCCTTTTAATGCCGAATGGGGTCCAATCTCGATCAGCGCTTTGATGGGATCAGAACCAGGCATAGAATTTCCGTCTAGTCGGACCAGATTTGAAATAGCTTGGGAAAAGCGGACTGGGGACTCGAGATTGGCTCGCCAGTACGCAGCACTATCTAAGATACTCGACGGTGGATTCTTGTCAGGGGTAACGGATGACACCCACGGAACACGAGGATACCGTTTTGCTTCGTCGACTAATCCAATATTCCGTACGTGTATGAAACCGCTGAAAAGCATCTCTTCGTATTCCTGACCTAGTACAGTCATGTGATGCGAATGGTACGCCATACCACCGGTTCTCAAGACGCGATTGAAAATCCCGTCGCTGCTCAAGCGCATAGCTAGCTTCTCGACAGCCAGCGCATCTCCAGACAGAGTGATGCTTCCGGGGGAATTGATAGCAGCAATCTGGATTCGATCGTTTTCGTCATCTCCGTCGGGGAGATATCCCGAATCCCGAAGCTCGTCTGGCCCCACGCCTACGGCCAGCATAGCCCCTTTCAGCTTGCCATTCATGATGGCTTGGCCGCGCAGATACGCCGCTACGATGGCGTCTGCGGCCGTAGCGTGTCCCGAGGCATAAGCGGCGGCTATCTCGCCCGAGGAATGGCCAGCCACGGCGACGGGGCGCACAGACCAGGAGGCGAGCAGGTCGACTAGGCCGATCTGGACAGCTGTGCACACGGTCTGGGACACGCTGGGTATCTGGATAATGGCTGGTCCGCAGTTCCCCTTGAGTACATCTGCAATCGACCATGCAGACAGGGGTGTCGGTAAGGATCTCAGAACGTCATCGAGATGCTCAATGGCGGCGCGGAATACGCCGTACTCGAAGAGTTGCGAACCCATCTTGTGCCATTGAGCACCTTGGCCGGTAAATACGAAGGCCACATTGGCGGGGTTCTGAGACTGCCGATGAGATGAACTCGTGTGAACGTCCGTCTTGCTATCTCCGTTCAATAATCCTGGCGCGAGGCGTTCTCTGCTCACAATACGGACGGCCCTATACGGTAAGTTGGAGCGTTTCGCGCTAAGTGTGTAAGCTACGTCGGCGAGTTGGTGTTGATATATATCAAGTAGAAGAGCGTCGATGTTCAGCTTGAGTGAGGACTCGTTATGCGCCGAGAAAGGGAGCAGCACAAGTTCTCGAGTGGTTGCACTGGTCGTTCCTATCATGCTCGGGGTGTTGGTAACAGGGTCATGGGTTCGCTTTTGCCGTTTCTGTACTCCATTTCCGTTCTTATTATGACCGTTACTGGCAGATCCGTTAATGTGATGAACCGTTTTGACAGCATTATTGCCATTCACGGGTTTATCGAGAGAGTTTCCGTTGAGGGAGTGCCCGTTCGGTTTGAAATCCAAGCCCATGCGGATGCTGGGGCCTACCTGATCGAAAGAGAGGAGGCTAACGTGGTCAATAATGCAGTGGGCATTGGCCCCCCCAAAACCGAACGAATTGATGCTAGCCCTGCGAGGCCTGTGTTCGGGCCAGGGCATGACTTCGCGGACGACATCTACTCTGGCTGTCGTAAAATCGATATTCGGGTTTAATACTTTGACGCCGATACTTGGAGGGATTTCGCCTGCTTCTAAGGAGAGCACTATCTTCATGACGGCGGCAAGAGCACTGGCCGCTTCGGTATGGCCCATGTTAGTTTTAACACTGCCGACGAATAGAGGCCCAGGGGTGTCTGCCTGTGGTTCCCTCTCGGAAGAGAAGACCTGGCTGATAGCTTCCAGCTCAATAGGATCCCCTACTTGTGTACCCGTACCATGGCACTCGACGTACGTGGTGTCCGAAAACGGGAGCCCGGCGCTACTATACGCCTTGCGTATAACAGCCTCCTGTCCAGCAGCACTGGGGCGCGTGATCCCACTAGTGCGGCCGTTAGCATTCACAGCAGTGCCCCTGATCACGGCGCGAATAGGCGACTCGCTAGCAACCGCCTTTGATAGACGCTTAAGGTAAAGCGCTGCGAACCCTTCACCGCGCGCATATCCATCGGCTGATGCGTCAAATGTACGACATCTCGAGTTAGGGGAGAGAACTCCAAGTTTATCGAGGGCGAGGTGTAGGGTGGGATCCGCGATCCAATTCGACGCTGCTACGATAGCCGAATCACAATCCCCATTACGGATTGCACTAACAGCTAGATGCAAGGCGTACATGGACGAAGAACAAGCTGTGTCAACAGTAACGCTGTTCGGATTTCAACAATTAGCAACTACGGAAACTTATAGGATAAAGGAGCAAAATCGACGCGATGAAGAATTACATACCTCGGTCCATGAAGATCAAATATATGGCTGATTCGATTTGCCAATATACTCGGACTTGCCCCTGAAGCCGAATAAGACTTGGCATAATCCCAGTCGCGCGCCTGAATCACCCAATGGTCTAACACAAAGTTTCCAACGAAAACACCCGTGTTCGACCCAGCGACGGAAGACCATGTCTCGCCGGCGTTTTCAAATGCCTCGTACACAACCTCGAGCAGCTTACGCTGCGACGGGTCGAACGTCTCGGCTTCGCGCCCTGTGATGCCGAAGAAGGAGTTGTCGAACAGCCGCGGGTCGCCATCAACCAGGAATCCGCCCTGCGCAGCGGTAGTGCCAGGCCGCACTGAATTAGGGTGATGGAACCCCGCGGCCGAAAAGGATCGCGGCGTGGACGCGGAATCAAAGGAGCGGAAGCCATAGCCGCTGTTTCGCAAGAAAGACCACATCTGGCGGGGCGAGTCCACGCCACCGGGCCACCGACAGCCTAAACATGATTAGCTTCTCTTAAACGCTTGGATAATGCCTTAGGAATCAGATTCCGGAGGTCAAGTATGAACTCACCCATGCCTGCGATCGCCACAGGCTCAGCATTCGGCTTTCGCTCTCCATTGGTACTCATTGGGGTCGCCATGATGCCGTTATAACTCAAACAACGAAGTAGGTCAAAAAGTATGAGAATTGGTGTTGATTCTCGAAGAGTCCTGTGGTCTTATTTACGTTGTTTCCAACAAGTATCACTTAGCAAGCGCGGATTCTTTGTGCTTTTGCTCTCTGATGGAAGGGTTTTCATGCGTCCGTAATCTTGCTTTTATAAGTAAGCATGATGGCGCTTGTTCGTAGTAATTCGCGAGATACTACCCAGTATACCAACGCCAAGTGAGAGGGTACACCAAAGGCCGGATAGGCACAATAGACGTATTTTCCTATCATGAATGGACATATGACTTACATAGCTCCATTTCGAGCGACCCTCTGTCATGCAAGGCCTGGGTCATGATATAGGTGACATAAAAATCGTATCATTATGGAAGCTGATGAAACCCAAGATCATCGAGGCTTCCCTTTTCTTCTTTCTGCAGAAAACATCTGTGAAAAGATAAGGATGCAGCGAAGTCCTTCAAGGTCTATCACATTGCTATACCTCAGGAGGTATGTTTTCTCTCAGGTTACGCGAACCCCTCAAAAATCAGGCAGATAGCCTATAGCTTCAAACACCTTGCAGACGTCTATCGGAAGTCCTCAGGGGCAAGTACGAAGTTCGCGGGGAGGTCTCGCGATAGTTTACAGTCCTGTGTGATAATACTGCCGCTTTAAAGATCGCTTTCAACTTCGACTTCTTCGCTTAATACCACCAGATGGAGATATTTCCTGGAAGGAATACGCGAAAGAGAAAAAGAACTTTTGCTTGTGCCGAAGGGGGCAGGCTAATTAAGTGTATGTCACTGGCCCCCTATATTCAGGCAAAGATAGGGGGGCATTCTACAAGGTATGGTAGTACCTTAACAACTTCGCCTCGATCTTCCATCTGTGGATAATGCTATTAGTTAGTTTACAAATAACTTCAAACTTGTGACAACGTGCTTTGGAGAGATGCTTAAAGCAGCCTCGGGGTCGAGCGTTAGTATTGAGACGCATCTATTCGAATTAAGATTAGAAGTCATACTCTATGAGTGCATTAGGTGGTAGATATCCAACGCGATTGGCGTGTCTTAATTGCATGGCGGTCTATTTTCCCGTCTCGAGTGTTAATACGATCATATTGGCTAACCAAGACGGGAAGCATCTATATATGTTGGGAGTAAGTGCGAAGTGTGCCGGTTTTTTGACGCCTCCTTGTGCCACGCATGAGGGCGGATAGGTACCTTAAATTACCCATGTCGGCTCGATATGCAGGACTTTGCCTCTTTCGTCTTACGATGGGTTCCAGACAGCCTCTCCGAAGCCCGACGTTCCCGGTATTTAGTTGAGAGAGGAGATAGGTGATATAGTACCGACAATCTTCAACCCTACAACTCTACTTGCCCTCTCCAAGCACTCCACCTTTCTCAGCGATCAGCTCAGTTCTAACTTACTAGGTAGTAGTATACTGAAAACATGGCAAGCATCACTTCCGCCATTAATACGGAGAAGTGGGGTAAGGAGACAGAGAAGCATTTCGGCGCTATCTACGACGGAGTATGGGACAGGGACATGTATGTGGACGATATCCCATGGGAAAACGGTCGGTTCCGTGAGCTACTAGAGAATTATAGCAAGATACCTCCAAGCGAGGTCGAGGCGGAGATTTCCCGGATTGTAAGATGAGAGCCTACTTCTCCTCAACCACCAATTACCCCTTAACCCGATATTAGCTGTCTTTTTCTAATCCGTGCCTATGTCTTTTCAATAGCGGGACAAGGCTTGGAACGTCGCAAAGTACCCATGCATCGGTTTTTTCGCCTACCTACGTCTTAACGAATTCGACGATAGCGAACCGGAGATGCATAAGGCCGTCGAGAGGCTCAAAGCCCCTGGTTCGAAAGACGCGTTCCTTGAGATTGGCGGCTTCATATGCCACACGATACGATGGCTCACCTACATAGGGGTCGACTCGGAGCGCCTGTACGGGACGGACTTACATGACGAGTTCCTCGAGCTAGGCTACAAGCAGTTCCGCGACCGCTCGACGTCGAAAGCTACCTTCGTCGCGGGGGACATACTGCTCCCGGACGAGGAGTATGCAGCAAGTCCCCTGGCGCAGACGTTCAACGGGAAGATGTCCGTGATCCACGCATCCAACTTCTTCCACCTGTTTAGCTGGGAGTCGCAGCTGGTCATCTGCGAGCGCATCGTGCGCTTTTTCAAACCCGGTCTAGGCGCGGCAGGCGACCCAGCCGTGCTGTTCGGGTACCATAGATGCAGCGATAGTCCAGGAGAGACGGACAAGTTCAGAATATACTTGCATAGCGAGGCGACGTTCCAGTCGCTGTGGGACGAGGTGGGAAAGAGGACGGCTACGTCTTGGAAGGTGACCATGGAGCCGCTGCCGATACCCATTCTAACGTCACATGTCTTCGGCAGAGAAGCGAAGGCGATGCGTTACGTTGTGAGACAAGTCGTAGTCGGTTAAGTTTAGGGGGGTCAGGGGTGAAATATAGGGTAACGAAGCCACATGTACTACCTAAATACTAAATGGGTCATATCGCAACGTTTCTCATCCAATATAGAAGTCTACAGCTGAAGAATCAGATATCATCGTACGAGTTTCGAACCCTCATGTTAATACGTGAATATGAAAGTGGTCTAGCGCTTATATCAGCAAAAGTAAAGGCATTGATGTATACCAATCTAATCTTCTGGTAATCGTGCATTGTCTGACTTCTGGGTTATCTGACGGCGTCAAGAGGTGACGTTTTCAGTCTCCGGCATCAGGCCAGATCAGTCTCATTTGTCGTTACACTACCTACAACATGGAATTCAAGAATTACTGACATTGGACATTCATAAATCCGCGAGGCTCTACCAATATGCAGTCTTGTTATACCGTGGTATTTAATAAACCTTTGGTGGCGTGTGTAGTTGAATTTAGGTAGTGAGGGCGAGAGAACGGTCGGATATTAGTCTCACTACATCGGTGATACCCGCAAAATACGACCCTACTTCCTCCAAATTACAGTCGCCGACGATAAGATGCTAAACTACCTTATTTTTTTCCGATAGCCTATGCCGAATTTACATATCAGTTTTGTTCTTCATTTAAGTTGATGCTTAGCGAAGAAACGAATGATACCATAGCACCAGAAAAGGTAGCATGATACCTTCCCATTCGTTCTCAAACCGGGTGTTGCCAAGATATACTGCAATGAAAGGGATACCGGAAGAGGATATTGTTATAGAAGTGGAGGAGCTGAGTTGCTGCAACTTTCTGTCAAAACCGCAGGGTTATCCAGGCGATCACAGGGAGATAGAAGTAGGATGGGTGAATTCGAAGTCGCAATGGAAATTCTTTCATATCCCGAGCATTAATTACGAATACCGAAGGTTATACCATTCATTTCACATGTTTGGGGAAGGGTAAATTGATCAAAGGTATCGTTCTAATATAATAAAACTGTGTGGGTTTCATCAGGCTTGCCAAGCCAATGGGGATATATACAGATTTATGAATGATGAAGCCATATTCAAAGAGGTTAGCAATCCTTTAAGACTGTAACTGTCACCCTGAAAAGTGAGACTTTTTGATATCAGTGACGGCTAAAAAGTAACGTCGAGGATGCCTACCGTGCCTGAGAAGAGCTGGAACTGGTAGATAGCTGACACGTTCTGAATTCTTCGAAAAAACCATAACCCCCCCAACTATAAGATAATATGGCTTTTCATCCATTCTTCTCCCAATTCTAACCACGCTCATCAGCAATCTTCTCACTGGTGAGGTCTTGCCCTCCCGGAATCAGCTAGACCGAAACACAGATTCCAGGTACCACCTAACGGGCCTCAGGAGACATATCGCACTTCTTCTTCCTGTACATATCGGGCCTTCTAGGGAAAAGCTCGTGGGCAACCGGGTCTCTTGACTTGACCTCCGCATCCGCCAGAAGAAAATCCATGGTCGTCGGGGTTTTGGGCTCCTGCACGTTGGTTTGCCGGCAGGGATGAGGGAGCAGACCCGGCTTATTCGCTGCAAGCGGGTTCAATTCTCTTTCATCCGCTTCGGGAAGATAGATTTCTATTCCGTCCTGGTATATCTTCAAGTATGATCCCGAGGTAGCAGAGCCTTTTCCCAGCTCGAAAAGGCTGCGGCTGGATCCGCTACTGGGGCCTGGGAAAGTAAGAGCATTTGGAGTTGGTGCTGTATTTTGGAGAGAGGTAGACTTGGTGGAAATACAACGCAACAGATACATCTTCATACTTACAGTTAACAGGAAGTGATGCTTATATGTATGTTAAATTACTATAACAGAATCATTCTTTCCACCTATCATATGAAATTTGGCTTTGGGCGAATATACATGGAGAATAGTAAATCTTATTACTCAGTTGTTACTTTATATTCTTTATCACCAGAATAAAGAAATTGATCATAGTCCTCATTTTAGAAAGTATCACAATCTACCTACCTATCTGACCCATGAGTGGCAAACTCATCCTCCCTTAATAGGTACCTACAGTTCTCAATTAGTCAAATCTCAAGTCGATAGGGCAACACAGGTTCATAACGCATAGAGTTAGGTACCTATTTAAGATATCTCATTAATAAAGTATTCAAAAGGTCACTTATCACAGGCCATCTTATAATTCTATCGCATATATTATTTCCAGAAAACGAAATGCAACAGCCAGATACTGAACATTGGATGATGTTCATATGATATGAAGGATTCAGTACCGGGCCGACACTAATTCCGCGTATAAACCCTAGCAAAAATATTCGAGCCCACAAAGGCTCGTTTCTCAACCACTCTGACCACTAAACCCGGAGCTAACTCCAAGAAGGAAAACAGAAGAGGCAGAAAAATAAAATAAAAATAGGGTTGCTAATCCCAGTGAACTGGGAAGCATCAGGAATTGAGCCCGATGCGGGGGTCGAACCTTGGAGGTGATGTTAGCCAGATATGATCGTAAGAGAGAGATATATATACGAATCTCAACTTACCCGCAACCTTGAGATTAAGAGTCTCACGCTCTACCGATTGAGCTAACCGGGCCGACTAATGGAGATGATGGTGTACCATCTCGTCGGATGTTGATGGAATGACCCATGGTAAACTCCCGCTATAAGTGAACCGGGCAGTGGGTTGCTTAAGAGGTACCTAAAGTAGTGTGCAGAAACTAGGACTAAAATCTTCGGTATTAGGTAGAGGTCGGCTACCTCTATCCCATTGGTGAGGTTCGTGTGTATACATGGTACTGTACTGTACTCTATTAAAAGCCTTTACCTGTACGTAACTTGGTATGGATTGTGATGAAATACGGAATGAAAAGATGGTCAACTTTAGGGACAGTCTAAAGTCTTTGATCGGACGATTTCGCTCTGTGTGGCTTAGATACTTGATATTTTACTAATTTTTATGACTTGTCATGGCCCCAATCCAGGCAGCAGAAAAACACTTGCATAAACACACAAGTGAGCTAGCTCATTTAACCATATCCTCGCCATGCTAGTGGTGTGAAGCTTACCTGAAGAGGTACGAAAGCATGCAAGATGGCTAAGGATAAAGGCTAGGAACCCATAGACGAAGAATAACCCATCAACAATCAGCACTCGGTTTTGAATACGCTTTATATTAAGTTCAATTGCATCATGTCTTAGTTTATCGGATATACCCTAGGTAGGTGCCTAGTCAGCCGTGAGGTCATACCACTCGGCATCTAGGCAATGGCTATTCGTGCAACCACTCGACGAGGACAGCTCACCTAACATCAGGTATTTAACATGCTATTGACGTAAGAAAATCAATGTCCTCGTCCTCTGCCCCTTCCGCGACCTCGTCCACCCCGCCCACCTCGGTTGAAATGACCACCCCTACCGCCTGAACCGCCTGAACCGCCTTTACTAGGCGACTGATTGTAGGCTGGCGGACGCGGAGGTAAAGATGTGGGCGCAGATGGTAAGGATCCTTGGTATCCATTCCTCTGATAGGGTGGCGGCGGTCCTGGCGGAAGAGGTGGTTGCCAAGAAGCCCCATTGCCTTGACTATACGGCGACGGAGGCGGAGGCGAAAATTCTGCCTCGTTCCGACGCCTGTAACTCTGGTCGTTACTACGACGCGGCCGGCCATTATTACCACTCTGTCCCAAAGACCCGATATTGCTTGCTATTCTAATCTGACCTCGGGGTTCAGACTTTTTGACGGGCGCGTGAACAAACTCGTCCTCTGACTCGTCACTAGAGACGAAATGAGTGTGAGTTTGCCTTTTAGCCCTTCCCAGAATGTGGAAATCTTCCTTCTGCTCTACACCTACCCAAGCGATAGCAATATTCTCGCTATTCTGGTCCATGTAAAGAAGGCGATTGGCCTGTGACCATGTCGTTTTTCCTGTCACCTTATCTCCCCTATCCGGTAATCCACACTCCGGCCCGTAGTGGCCTGCGGCGCCGCAAGTGTAACAGAATGATGGCACATCTTTGACTTTGTTGATGACACTAGCAATTGGAGCGAAGCTCCTCCATATTTCAGAGCACCCTTCTTCTGCATGCTCAGCACCACATATTGCACAACCGTCTTGCTCATCCAATGTGAGGGCAAGTTTCTCCCCACAGCTTGCGCTGCTATGCCCTAATTGACGACATTTGGAGCATCTTTGCTTTGTGGGACAGCCAAACAAAGAGTGCTCCCGACTGCCGCAGAATTTACATTTGCGTTGTGGACATTCATGAGCACGATGCCCAATTCCAGAACAGGATAGACAGTACTGAGCGGGATCCTCTGCCCATGGGAAATATCTTCGCTGTTCTCGCAGTTCGTCCTCTTCATCTAGTACCCGCTCCTCTCGTTTATCTGCAACGGGGAGAGTATCTTGGCTAGGCTCGTTGGCTGGAGCAACTTTACTATCTTTGGAATTTCTGCGTGTTGCTGGCTTGGCTTTCCGTGTTCGGAACTGTCTGATTTTTTTCTCAATTAAACCTTCGAGGCCAGGGTCATCTATGGCTTTCTGAGCTGAACTTGTAGCAGCGTCAGCATGCTTTTTAGTGCCCTTGAAGAGCTTATCTCCTCCTTTGCGGTTAATGTGATTGCTGAGCCCTTCTCGGATTATTTTAGTAGATACGTGATCAAGCGCCTTTTCATTTGCTCCGAGAAACGCATTAACCCAGGTCTGAATTCTGTCGTAGCAGAAGGCCGCTGTATGAACAGAATGCTTCTTAGCTCGAAACGTTATATGGGGGAGATACCAGGTGCTTCCATCGACAGTGAATGTGACGCGTGGTTCATCATCAATCGATTCAATGGGCGGCACATAATCTCTGTCCTGTTCATCGTCATCGTCGTCGGCTTCCTCTCTTTCGCCACCACCGCCATCTTGACCGCGCTGCGAAGAAGGGGGAAATAATTGCGCAGCTGGCTTTCCAAATGACGTTCTTGCGCCTAGACTCAAACCTTGATTCCACCCCGAATGCTGAACAGGCTTATCGCCAGTCTTATCGATGAAGAAAGGTTGGTCCGGTTCATTAGATTCCTGAGGCTTAGCCATGGGGCTACCAATTTCACCATCCTCGGAAGGCTCATGCGTAACGTTGTCAGGGGCAGGTGTTTTAACATGTACTGGGCTATTTGGACTCGACTCTACTATTTCGCCGTCGTCCAAATCCGAATCATGACCGCTATCAGAACCATCCCTTCTCCGTTTCTTCAATGCTGGTAATGAAGTATCGTCCAGGTGATCCTCATCGTCGGATGGGGACAAACCCTTCAATTGCTCACCATAGTCGAGCGGACGTTTTTGGTTTGATAGGCTACCAGGAGTACCAATGTTGCCCTGGCCAGCGTTGGGGGTGGGTGCCTCGGTAGCGCCGCTCATCACAGTTTAGTGGAGAGCTGCGACAATAAAGAGTAATGGGTGATGGGTGATGCCGTGGTTGTGAGAAGAGGAAAAGAAGATTGAAACCCACAAGGCGTAGAATACTATACTATGTACGTACGTACGTCGTGTGGTGGGGGGGGGGGGGGGGGGGGCGGCAAAAAAAAAAGTAAATAATTTTGGAACAAATTTTTAAAAAAAAATACCTACCGTTTCATTGCCCCCCCCCCCCGTTATTTGGGGGCCGTAG